CCAAATTGCCCAGGCAGGTCTCGAACCCGCAGGCTCAGGCAATCCACTCACCTCAGCCTCCCAAAGGCGCGGGATTACAGGCTGAGCCCAGCATAAAGTTAAATTTCAATTCGTGGCTTTTCCCATACACTGATACGTCATTAAGGCTTTCTATTTTGTCATATTTACTGTTATCTTTGTAATCATCTCCACATTCCAAGTTGAGTTTTCTTTCCATTTTAAAAACAAAATTGGCAGCTCGACATCATAATGTTCCAAAACAAGTTTTTATGACAGTCTGTTGAGGCATTCTGTTGACATTTTGGGAGAAGGCTTCTTCCCTTTGAGTCTGAGGTATTTAGGAAAAACTCATATTTGGTCATCAGTGCTTTACTCTCCCTCTTCACCCACCCCCAGGATGGTCTTTACATAATTTTGGCCTTCTATGCAAGATCACTTGTATTCAGTCAGAACAACTTTGAAAGTTTGATGTTGGTATTTCGATGATTTTTGAGGATTAGGACCTCTTTGAGGTAAGGAAAACTCAGTTATTAAATGCAGACCCTGGCTTAGAGCCTGGGAAGTTGTGAAGGGAGTGATAGCATCTGTTAACGAAGTCCTTTAGAAATTCCAGATCTACCCAAAATTAGACATGCTTTTGAAACAAAAAAAACCAGATCTTTTGTAAATGCACTTAATATCTCTATATAACTCAGTATAGTTATATATAGATAACTGCTGTTATAGAATAAGTAGCTGCTAAGGAACATGTAGGTTACAGTTTACAAGACAAATGGTATTTCACTGTTATTTTATCACCTCAGAGTCTTTTAAAAAAAACTTTCCAGACCAGGTGTGGTGGTTCAAGCCTGTAATTCCAGTACTTTGGGAGACTGAGGTGAGAGGATTGTCTGAGTCCAGGGGTTCAAGACCAGCCTGGGCAATTTGGTGAGACCTCGTCTTTACAATAAATCCAAAAAATTAGCCAGATGTGGTAGCACACACCTGTAGTTCCAGCTGCTTGGAAGGTTGAGGAGGAAGGATGGCCTGAGCCCAGTGGGTCAAGGCTGCGGTGGCCATGAGTGTGCCACTGCCCTCCAGCCTGGTTGACAGAGTAAGACTCCAACTCAAAAAACAAAAAACTTTCCAATTATTAGTGATTATTCTTTCGAGTTTCTTCCTTCTAGCTGTCTGTCATGTAGTGGTAGTCACTTTTTTTTTTTGATTTGGAGTCTCACTCTGTCACCCAGACTGTAGTGCACTGGCCACTCTCGACCACTGCAGCCTCGACCTGCTGGGCTCCGGCGATCCTTCTGCCTCAGCCTTCCAAGTAGCTGAAACTACAGGCGCGCTACCACGTGTGGCTGATTTTTGATTGATTGTAGAGATGAGGTCTCGCCAAGTTGCCCAGGTGGGTCTCGAACACGCGGGCTCAGGCAATCGGTAGTCACTTTTTAATTGTCTTAGAAATTCATATTTTCTATAGTTTTAGTCAAATATCAACTTCTATTAACAAAAAATGTTTGCACCTTAAGGCAAAACTCTGAAGCCAATATTAACATAGTTATAGGGTAGAGGATTCAGTTGGGAAGCTGTTTTCTGTATCTCGGCCAGATTATAATAAGCTTCTTGAGGAAAGGATTTGATATATGATTTTCTTTAGCATCTGGCATGCCACTGGACAATTAGCAGGTGCTGGATAACTTTTCTTGTTAGGTCACTTGATAGAAGTTCCTCTATATTCAAGAATGTGCCACACCTTAAGAAAACTGAGAATACCAGTTTAAATATGAATGACACTTGCTCTGAGTTTGTCCTGTGAATGCCTTGGGGCTTTAGGAGCTGAAGTGCCGGTCCTACCCCCATACCCCCAGCTGGCACCAGATGCCTGCACTTTGCCCCCTCCCACTGCCAGCTCCTGTGTGTCTCTGCTATTAGCACTGCGTCTGATTTATCTGCCCCATTTTTTTGGTCAGCTTTATCCTGTTTTGGACCAGGAATCAGATCAGAGTTCTTGAGAGTTTATGTGCACAGGAATAAGCCATTGTTAGGAACAGAAAGTTAAACCCTGCATGTTCTCACTCATATATGGAAGCTACAAAAAGTTGATCTCATAGAAGTAAAAAGTAGAACAGAGGATGCTAGAGACTCGAAACAGTGGGGGGAAGGGGAGATGGGGAGAGAGTTGTTAAAGGATACAAACTTACAGCTAAATAGCAATAAGTTCTAAGGCCTTATAGCATTGTAGGGAGACTATAGTTAATAAATGATTATGTTTCAAATAGCTGGAAGGAGGATATTGAATATTCCCAATAAAAATAAATGATAAGCTTTTGAGATGATAGATATGCTAATTACCCTGATCTGATCACTATATACTATATATAGAGCAACATCACTATGTACCCCATGAGTATGTACAATTATGTGTCAATTAAAAAAATAAGGCACTCTTTTGACAAAAGACTATGAGCCCAAGAGCCTAGATTTGTGACACTGGTTTTTCTGTTCCATGTGACATCTGTTTTTCTGTTTCATAGTCTATTTGCTTCATTTCATGTATAAATTAATAAACAGAAGTAGTACTCTTTGGAGGTATCACCCTTTTTCTCTAAGCTAGAATTTTGATTCTTCAACAGAGCTTATGCTAGCTAATTTTTCTATAGTATGTTCTGAAGTCAGGCAGTCTAAGGATTCCCTCAGGCCAAGCCTTCTGAGTTTTGAGGTTTGTGGTGTCTCTGCATTCCAGAGTCTGCCTGCAGGTGCCCAGGCAGAGTGAAGGGCCTGGGCAGAGAGGCGTGGGAAGTGTTTTAGAGATTTGTTATCTCAGGGCCATGGAGTGGGAGACTGGAATGACAGGAAAGTGTGATGCCAGGATGGCCTAACCTAGTGTAAGATGCAGGCCAGGTGAATCGTATCTCCCCCACTTTTAGGAAAATTGGTTGGCGCTCCACCTATAGCCCTATATACATCTGTTTGTAAACTAGTACTTGTTGTGAATATTGTAAAAGTAGGAACTCTTTCTCCCTTCCCCCATCTAATCCTTATAGGAAGCATTGTTGACAACCATGGACATTATCCATGATGGATTTGGATTCATGCTGGCTTTTGGAGATTTAGTGTGGGTTCCATTTGTTTACAGCTTGCAAGCCTTTTACTTAGTCAAGCATCCAAATGAAGTGTCTTGGCCAATGGCTTCTCTAATTATTGTTCTGAAACGTGAGTATTGATTTCAGCCTCCGTTTAACTTATTAAATATTAGGTACTGAGTCTTCTGTGCTCTGTTAGCTACATATTTGTAACATGCCATTGTAAATAGTCATAATTGCCTCAATTGTGAAGTAATTTATGATGAGTAGTAAAAAGATTCTGCATCTTGCAAAGAGAAGGATGGTTCATACTTGGATTCTCAGTAGTTTTCTAAACATTTTAAACAAACCATCTTGTTTTTACATTAAATAAGTTCAGTTTGTTTTAGTAACCATTCATCTTTTCTGTTTAGTGCTTGCTTTTTCCAATAGACATCTTTAAAAGTGGGAAGGCTGGTCTTGCCTTCATAGAGCTCACATTCTAACAGAGAACTAAGACACTCGTACTGTGGTGTGAGGTGTGTGAATGAGCACGCGTAAGAGGGACGTAGTTGATGCGGTGTTTGATCTGAGTTTTAGTGAGTAAAAATGGGATAGGGAGATGAGTAAGTCAGGCACAGGGAACAACTCAGCAAGGGTCTCTGGTGGGTGGGGAAGCGGGAAGTGAGTCTGGGAAAGTGAGGAGTCTAGTTTGGCTGCAGCTGAGGTCCATCAGGGTTCATCATGGATTTTGCTTCAGGATGATTTTTCTTTTTTTGAGTTGGAGTCTCACTCTATCGCCCAGGCTGGAGTGTCGTGGCATACTCACCACCACTCCAGTGTCGACCTGCTGTGCTTCGGCTAGCTTTCCACCTCAGCCTTCCAAGTAGCCAGAACTACAGGCACGTGCTACCATACCCAGCTAATTTTTGATTTATTGTAGAGATAAGGTCTCGGCCAAGTTGCCGGGGCTGGTCTGGAACCTGCAGACTCAGGCAATCCACTCACCTCAGCCTCCCAAAGTGCTGGGATTACAGGCTGAGCCATTGAGCCTAGCCTGATTTTCCTTTATCTTTTCATCATTATGCTGTTAATTAAACACCTCCACAACAGGTTGGGTAGGGAAAATTAGCATTGAACTTCAAATATAGCTAGTTTTGCTGCACTGATTATTATCTGTGAGAGAAGAAATTCAAACCATTGGCTAAAATTAAGATTTAGTTTTCCCATTGGTTTAGTTATTCATGTACATACATACAAGTATATGTGTGTGTTTGTGTGTATTTTTTTTTAATTTTTATTTTTGGTTTATTGTAGGGATGAGGTCTCACCAAGTTGCCCAGGCTGGTCTTGAACCCCTGGGCTCAGGCAGTCCTCTTACCTCTGCCTCCCGAAGTGCTAGGATTACAAATGTGAGCCATAACCGGAATCAGTGGCTCAGCCTGTAATCCTGCACCTTTGGGAGGCTGAGGTGAGTGGATTGCCTGAGCCCGCGGGTTCGAGACCTGCCTGGGCAGCGAGACCTTATCTCTACAATAAATAAAAAAATCAGCCAGGTATGGTAGCGCATGCCTGTAATTCCAGCTACTTGGAAGGCTGAGACAGAAGGATCGCCGGAGCCCAGCAGGTCGAGGCTGTGGTAGCCGGAAGCGGGCACTGCGCTTCAGTCTGGGTGGCAGAGTGAGACCCCAACTAAAAAAAAAAACCCAAAAAAACAAATGTGAGCCATTGTGTCTGGCACAAGACAGTATACTTTATAGTTCAGCTAAAGATGGGGAGTGTCTTAGTCCATTTTGTCTGCTCAAACAATACCTGAGACTGAGTAATTTGTAATGAATAGAAATTTATTTGGCTCATGGTCCTGGAGGCTGGGGAGTCCGAGAGCATAGTGCCAGGATCTGGTGAGGGCATTCCTCTTGTGTCATTCCATGGCAGAAGGTGGAAAGGCAAGAGAGGCTGAGAGCAAGAAGGGCCAAACTCACTTTTATAACAAACCTACTTTTGGGATAATGAACACATTTTAGTGATAATGACATTCATCTATTCATAAGGGCAGAGTCCTCATGACCTGATTTTCTCTTAAAGGTCTCACCTCTCAACACTGTTGCACTGGGGATTAAGTTCTAACTCATGAATTTTGGGGGCACATTCAAACCATTGCAAGATGTAGAGTTTTTTCTTACTATTTTTTTGAGGACTGACAATATAATAGTTAAATTTCAGTGATACTGTCAGGGCCTATGGATTTTGACATTTTTAAATGTAAGTAAAGTCATGAACTTGTAGGCTTGCAGTGGGATTCAGCAGAAATTTAAAGTGCTGATGTTCTGGTATTGATTTGTGAAGCTAGTGTTTGACTAAGAAAGTGTTTGTGATATGACCAGTAGATATCATAACTAACAGATGAGATAGCCTGTAATTTTGATTATACTGAACTCTAGTATTGGTTTTATTGTAATGTGGGCTGTCTTAGCTTTTATTTTTTTCATGGATGTAACTATATTTGCTAGTTTTGCCTTTAGGTATTCCTTGGTAGAGGATGAAAATAGGGTGATAGTGAGATTTCAGAAGAGTTACCATCTTTTTATATTCTGGGATTAAGAGTTTTTGAATTGACTGAAAGAATCAGATTATTCTCTGCTTTGGAGATTTCCTCGGAGCACAGAAATAATTTCTAAGGAAAATTACAGATGTGATTAAATATTAGAGTATATCTAAATTATTAACATAGAAAATATTTTAAAATTACAGTTTGTGGATATGTAATCTTCCGATGTGCAAACTCCCAGAAAAATGCATTCCGGAAAAATCCCACTGATCCAAAGCTTGCACGTAAGTGTTGATTTGTGTTTACATTATATATCATATGAGGATTTTACATCTCTTTTTGTTTAGAGATCATGAAAAATATATTGTTATTTTTATATAGATTTAAAAACTATTCGTACTTCAACGGGAAAAAATCTTCTAGTTTCTGGATGGTGGGGTTTTGTGCGCCACCCCAATTATCTGGGCGATCTCATCATGGCCTTGGCGTGGTCCCTCCCATGTGGTAAGCATTTCAGAATAATGCAAATTTGACTCTTCCTTCAGTCTCCTGAAAGACATGTATTTGTGTGCGCGTATGCGTGTGCATGTGCGTGCGTGTGTGTATGTCCCCTTCGTTGGAACAGTGTGCACAAGGTCAGTGTGAGTCTTTCTTTTGTTACTGTTGTAGGTTGGGGTTGGCCATAGCAGAAGCACCTCCTGGTCTGGGTGCTGTTTTCTTGTATCTGCAGTGCCTCATTTATCTAGTTTCTGGGGGGAATTGGGAACTCACAGAGCCTGGAGTTTTGCTTTAAACTTCTAAAAGCAAGTTTTCAGCTGTACCTGATAGCTTTTTGCTAAGTAGAATATATGGAAATTTATTTAATTTCTACTTTATGACTCAGTGTGCATAGATTCTGAAAAACTTTGGTTCTTAAGAAGAACAGAAGGAAATTGTGTTTTATCTGTATGTGTGTGTCCTGACCTCGTGGCAGCTGTGGGAGCTGGTCCCAGCCTGCCGTGGAGAAGGGCAGTTTTTCTTCTTCACTGAGGCAAGGGGGCAAGAAATTGAGAAATTTGCGTTAAATATGAGGACAAATGTTCTGATTTGTCTGATGGACAAATGTTCTGATGGATTGTCAGTATGGATTAACCACTCTTCTCTGAATAGCTTTTAATTTAAATAATACCTTGTGCCACGTACCAGTGGGATTTTATGAACTGGTTTAAATTTTCTGCATTATTGGAGAACATGAAGTAATCTTGTGGTTCATTTTTAGAGAATTTGAGGAAAAGTAGGAAAAAAAATATTGTGTAGTGATAATAAAAATAATACTATTTGCCTTTACTGTCCACAGGTTTTAATCACATTCTACCTTATTTCTATGTGATTTATTTCACCATGTTGCTAGTCCACCGAGAAGCTCGAGATGAACACCACTGTAAGAAGAAATACGGCTTGGCTTGGGAAAAGTACTGTCAACGAGTACCCTATCGTATATTTCCATACATTTACTAATTCTGTTCTGGCATATTTGAAAATACTCCCACAATTCAGGCTGCCATTTGCAAAAACAAGAGAAGAAATCCCAAACTCACTTTCTTTTGTAGCACTGACAGGATCTGTACATTGTTTTTTCCTTTTAGAGTCAGGATTATAGAGCCAAGTGGTAGATCTTTTAATATAGCCATGTCTATTTTTATTAAGTTATAATTAACATAAGGAGAAGTACAAAGAAGGATGTTTCAATTTACATTTTAATAGGAAATTTTCAGCCCTTAATAATCTTAAAATCGAAAACAGTCTTATTATTATATAAATGCACTGTAAAGAATACTATTGATGTTTATGGTTTTTTTATTACTTTTCAAATTTTGATTTTTTTTCTTTTTCCAGTTTGTTTTTCTTAAATGAAAACATAGTTACATTGAAAATACATTTATGTTTTATTTACTAGCTGTCTAATTGGAAAGTAAAATCCAGGCCTATATTAAATGCTGTATGTGAAGAGCAAGGGAAGACTATTAGCAGACACTGTTTAAGGGAGACCGTTAGTAGCAGTTGACTTAACCTCAACTTCTAACCTACATTTGAAAATGTAAATACGTAGCTTAGTTTTATGTAATATATGGTGACTTCAGATTTTTCTGTACAGTATTTTTAATGTGAGATAATTGTCAGGACTCTCTTAACAAAAACATTTTCAGTATTTTAAATTAAGTTTTGTAAAGTAATAAATGTGAATGAAAAAATTTGAAACAATTAGAATTCATTTACTCTTGTATAGAAGATGCTGTTAAAACATAGGAAGTGTATTTTTCTTAATCCAAAGTTTGTGAATTTGGCTTTGCTACCTCAATTGCAGGTGTTTGTTTGCCTTTATAAACTGTTGCAAAGAGAAAAAATAGAATAAATATATATTTTTGGAGTAAAATCAGTATTTAAACATTTTTACACAGATTGGTATTTGAAAATTTGCCATTTAGGCCAATATTTTTATATATTTTTGACTTTTTAAATTCATGCTTTTGCTACTGTTTAGTTCATGCAGTTTATACTGTATTATTATTTTTTTGTATATCATTTATATTTACAAAACTTTTCTCCCTGTAAAGGAATCTAAAAACAACTTAAGGGGTTAGTTTAAAGTTGTTTCTGTCTTTTAGTTTACTAAATGTGAATAAGATAGCTTAAGCCATTAAAATTCTAGTGAAGCTAATATATTTCTAGTAGTTGTCTTGTAATGGAACAGTAGCAAATTCAGTAAACTTTTGTATTCAAAGTTAAATTGTTCTCAGTATCTTAAGCATAGGGGAATGTAATAAACATAGTGCGTATGTTTGGGTTTTAATTACACATTTTATATATGAGCCATTTAGATGTGCAGTGTTCAGTCTACACTGCAATTTGAAGTGTATGTAACTTAGCTTATGTTAACACAATCATGAAGTTGGTTTACTCTGGCATTTTGCATCCTATAATCTTTAAATATTGTTTTAGGGAAACTTTGTTTTATTAGTACTGGTGTGTGCAAGCAGTTTTTTATTTTGCTTTTCCCCTGGCATCAGAAGGTGATGTCCCAGCGTGTTCTGTACTAGGTTCACTAAGCGGAGGAAGGAAGGACATTTCCCAGGATTATTTCCCTGGTAATGAAAAAGTCTGGGAACACAGTGCTTCAGTTTCTGAATATCAGCTCTACTTTGTTTTTAATTGTGTTTTTGACATGTTTATTTGACAAGTTTTATAATGAAGTTTAAGTTGGAGATAAAGTTGAAAATAAAATATTTTGATCACTTCGGAGCCTTTTTTTGTTTTTGTTTTTTTACCTGCAACTCTGGGATTATTAGGACCAAGATAGGAGTCCTTAGTTTACCACCCCCACCCAGCCTCCTGTCTTTTCTAGAGTCGTTTGTTTGGGGCCCTGCCCTGGCTAACTGCCATTTTCATCAGATTTTCTGAATGTTGGATCTTAAATTGGGTTAGTTGGGTATCCCACCTCCCAGAAAATGGTTATTAATGTAATATTTGCTGTTTGAGAAAATAGAGAAACGCTAAAAACTATCATAGGTTCAATCATACTTTCATATGAATTTATATAAATCCCAGAATCATCTGTATATTTGAAAGGCGGTACGTGTGTGAGATTTATATGTCTGCTGACAGTGCTTAGTGGTTTTTTGGATTTCCAGTTGATTAAAAACTGAGTTGTGAGATGAGATCAGACAGCTTCATCTCTCAATTCCTCTTCCTGGCATGACATTACATTGCAGCATTACATGGCAGAAGGTAGGTGTGTCAGAATATGCACCAATACCAAGTATATGATAAACATATGTGATTTATATTTGGTTTTGAGTTAAGGACTGTTTGGAGAAAATGATGCAGTATAGAATTTTTACAAAAGATACAATGTGGGGTTTTACTAGGTACAATTTACTTGCATGTAGATGGTAAAATTTTCTAGACACACAAATATATGTTAATGTTTTGTTCATGTTGTTAAAGAGTCTAGTTTTGGGAACAGGCCCCACCCTTTCCACCCCCCTTACTATAGAGAGAATGGGCTGTTGGATCTTCATTTATGTACACGTGGGATATGTTTTCTGCCTATGGACCATTGCCAAGATAAAGTAACGGTGAGATATTGCCTCAATTCTTAGTACTGCTTTCTCTTAGCAATGTGAGTTTAGGCAAATTACTTAATCCCTAAGCACATGTATAAAATTTGGCTGAGGGGAAACCCCCTCGGGTCCCCTCTCACTTTGGGAGCTTTTCTGTGCTCTCAATACATCTTATTTCTAAAAAAAAAAATGGCTGAGAGGTCCACAGTACAGATGGGGTCTGAGGATTATACAGGACTTATTAGTTGTCATGTACAGATGAGAGACTGTATCTGGCCAGTGTGGCTGGACTCAAATGTTTTTATGAAGGATGTGGACTACGTGTAAATGCCTTGAAACATGCAAATCTAATTAGGGTCAAAAGTTAAAATGGTTTGGTATGGAAATTTATTTTTCATTCTTTTCACACAGCAAGGCAACCTGCATTGTGATCCAGTGGCTAGGAGGTTTCTTTGTTGATAAATACACTGATGTTAAGTTTGTTGGTACACCAGTAGTTGCCAAAATTCTCGACCTCTCAGATGTCTGGTACACTGGGCATTCAAAAGTATAGAGTTCTGAATCTGTCTTGTTAGAAACATTTGCTGTTTCAGTAGAAATCTTTAAAAGAAACAAACAAACAAGACTCCAATAGTCAAATTGCATAGTTCAAGTGAACTAGTAGTTTACATTTTCTGTGTGCTAGGTTTGAGGGATTTGTTATGAATTAAAAGTGTTTAAGATCAGATGGTTAATATAACTGCATATGGACATTATGCCTAGAGAATTAAAGAGTTATCATGACTTCATAGTACATCTTCTTGAGAAATAACACTGGATGTTAGTATAGCATCTATGGTAGGTTTTAGTAATATTTTGGGCTGTTTTAAATGTGTTATCTCCCTTGTGAAATTGTAGGGAGTGGAGAGTAGGAGTGGTTTGTATTACTGAGGGAAAACTCAGGAGTTTAGGACTTTGAGGTACAGTTGAGTGGTTGGTTGGTTACCTTTGTTGGCAAAAAGTATATATCAGGAAAATCACAACACATCTCAAGAGGTAGCGAGTCTTCTAGTATTTTTTGTTCGTGATTCCATCTTGCTCCCTCAATGAATAAACCAAAAATGTGAACTCCAGGGTGAGAGGGGTCTGAGCCCTATGATGGAAGAGAGGTGGTGTTAGTGGTTCCCAGGAAAAGCAGTGAATTCAACCAGAGGCTCCATCTGGAGATGCGTCTGCCCATCCTGAGAGGCTCTTCTTGGTGTGGGACCATCTCTGCTAAGGTATGTCGTCCCAAGTTCTAAGGTGAATTCTTAATTCTTTTCCTACTCTGATCCCTTAAAAAAAGTTTATAGACTTCAGTCTGTCTACTTAATGATGATCCTGAATTGACTTTTTTTTTTAAATTTGAGGGTCTCATCTGTCACCCAAGCTAGAGTGCAGTGGCATGATCATGGCTTGCTGCAGCCTCAAACTTCTGGATTCAGGCGATTCTTCCACCTCAGCCTCCTGAGTAACTGGGACCACAGGTGTGCATTAACCATGCCCAGCTAATTTTTTTAAAATGTGTAAATATTTTGTAGAGATGAGGTCTCACTATGTTGCCTAGGCTTACACTGGGCTCAAGCAATCCTTCTGCCTCGGCCCCCACAAAGTGCTGGGATAGAGGCATGAGCCACCACACCGGCTGACAAATACCGGCAGTGCCAAAAAAATGTATACACTTTTTTTTTTTTTTTTTTTTGAGTTGGAGTCTCACTCTGTTGCCTAGACTGGAGTGCAGTGGCCGCTCCCGGCCACCGCAGCCTCGACCTGCTGGGCTCCGGCGATCCTTCCGCCTCAGCCTTCCGAGTATCCGGAATTACAGGCAAGCCCGGCTGATTTTTTGATTTATTGTAGAGATGAGGTCTCGCTGTCCAGGCGGGTCTCGAACCCGCAGGCTCAGGCAATTCATTCACCTCAGCCTCCCAAAGGCACGGGATTACAGGCTGAGCCACTGAGCCCGGCAATGTATACACATTTTAAGCTATGTTATCTATGTATTACCTTGCAAAGTTGAATTGGATTACAGTAGCAATGTGTAGTATGACATTCACTCAAAAGATGGTATTGATCAAATGAATGCTACTGTCATCATGCGACAGGCAGGACAGTCAAAGAAAATGGTGGAAGCACAGTTGTTGTTTGAGGAGCACGAGACCATTTTGAAGTGGTATTAGACATTTGAGAATGGTGTGGAAGTACAAGCACAATGGAGGCGTGAGTGGGCAACAGGACCCCAACATGCCTGACAGTTGCGCGCGTTCGTGGTAAGTTTGAGACACATGGTCCTGTGTGTGCTGTGTGCAAGGGAAGATCCAGGAGGCCTTGCACAGCAAGTCCTGCAGTAGCTCGCCATAATCAGAAGTGTCTGGACACTAATGGTCACCACTTTGAGCACCTCTTATAATTGCAGAAGTCAAATGGGACTTGTATTCATCTTTTGTTATCCGTATATATTGAATACGACAATTTTAATATAGTTTTTTCCTTTCTTAGCATGTGTATACATCTTTTTGGCACCTTCTGTATTTTCAAACAGTAAAAGGCCAGATTTTTACAAATGTAATTCTGTAGCCTGGCTTTTTAGAGAAAGCAAGAACAGTTACAAAAGGAGTCAGTGTATAAAATACACTGTGCTCAGACTTTGTCACCTACCACTGCCATGGTAGCGGTGGCTACAACTACTCACTTAGACTCTGGACATTTAAGAAGAAGCTGGGAAGGGTTCCATTGCATATCTTTGAATAACAGGTTAAATAAATGATTAAGTTGGAATGATAAAAGGCTAAAAAAATGAGTTTCTGATGAGGTTTGTGAAGTAGAAAATGCAGTTGCCAGCAGCTCCAGTTCTGTGAGACTTGGTGTGTGCCGGGTGGGCCCGTGAAGCCATGCATTGTCCCAATGGGCAGGTGTGCTGTGGGGATGCCCAGCCTGCAGGAGTGGGGTAGCTGGACACCCTACCACCTGGGAGGTCCCTGAGGGGAAGGGATGGGCACAGCTGTCCTTAGCTCACCCTCAAGGCAGCCTGTGCCACCTTGCTGCAGCAGCTGCAGAGTGGAACAGCCTCTGTGCTGCCCACCCTGTAGAATGTGCTCGGTGGCTCAGCCTGTAATCCCGCACCTTGGGAGGCTGAGGTGAGTGGATTGCCTGAACCTGCAGGTACGAGACCCACCTGGGCAACTTGGCGAGACCTCATCTCTACTAAATCAAAAAATTAGCTGGGCGTGGTAGCGCGCGCCTGTAGTTCTAGCCACTTGGAAGGCGGAGGTGGAAGGATCGCCGGAGCCCAGCAGGTCGAGGCTGCGGTGGCTGGGAGCGGCCACTGCACTCCAGTCAGGACCACAGAGTGAGACTCCGACTCAAAAAAAAAGAACATGCCTACCTGGAGGTGCAGACTGAACTCACCTCCTATTTTAGTTTATTCTACAAATGGCTTTTATTGGGAATTGCTTTGTATGACGACTTTCCCTTATATATAAACAGTGTTTCATATACTGCATTTGTTCTAGTGCTGTCCTTTCGTAAAAGTCTTGAAAGAAGTTAATCACCTAAATGGAGGATGGTTCTTGGTATCAAGCAGAAATAACTGAGAACATCTGGTTAGATGGACAGAGACCAAAAGCAAAGTTGGCAGGGCAGTGCCTACCCTGCCCCCCCATCCCCCCCGCACAAGAAAAGGCCCTGGTGCACATCGGCCTCCACCTTTTCACGTCTAATGTGACCTGTAGGAAGAGGTGAGAATATAGGGTATAGAGTCGGCTAGGCTTGAGTTTGAAGCTTATGAGCTGACTCTTTGAACCTCAGCTTCTCGACCTATAAAATGAGGATAAGCCGGGCTCAGTGGCTCAGCCTGTAATCCCACGCCTTTGGGAGGCTGAGGTGAGTGGATTGCCTGAGCCCACGGGTTCGAGACCCGCCTGGGCAGCGAGACCTCATCTCTACAATAAATCAAAAATCAGCTGGGCGTGGTAGCGCGCGCCTGTAGTTCCAGCTACTTGGAAGACTGAGGCGGAAGGATCGCTGGAGCCCAGCAGGTCGAGGCTGCGGTGGCTGGGAGCGGCTACTGCACTCCAGTCTGGGTGACAGAGTGAAACTTCAACTCAAAAAAAAAAAAAAATGAGGATAATTTGTGAGGATTAAATAATGCAGGTCAAGAACTTAGCCTCGTATCTGGCACATAGTAAATGCTTAGCAAATGTTGACTAGGAGCATCAGATATCGTCAGGTGGATTGCGGTCTTCTGGAGGCCAGGAGCCTTATATTCTCAACAGCTAGCCCAGTTCTGGACACATTTTCAAGTGAATGAATTTAATAAGTAATTGGCTACATCCCAAGTCTAAATACATCTGAACTTTTACTTTCTTCCACTTCAATACCCTCGCCCAGTGGTCACCTAATTTTTCCTGAACCTCCAGTGACAGGGTACTCCCTGTATACACTGGCCATCACTGTCAACTTAGACCAAGTGAATGCCTTTATCTTGAATGAGTTTTTCCCTTGGAGCTCCCGCTCCTTGGAGTTCTAGTAGACTTAGACTCTAGTTCTTCATGTACCACCTTTTCAGACATTCCTTTTCCTCCTCAGCATCTGTTTTCCTCTAGGATAGATTCTCCCATTTTCATCCCTTCATCTGGTTTCTAACAGTCATGTTGGATGTTCTCTGAATCATCTCCAAGTGCAGTCTGATGATGCTGAGAAGAGCAGGACCAGGACTGGACCAAGAGGCCAGACAGCACAAGTGCTGGCTGTCTCCTCCCACCCCAAATCCCAGAATACAGTTATGAAAGCACTGGAAAACGAAGTATCCAGTGCTTTAGACCACAAACTATGAGAGCTCTAAAGACAGAAGACAGATTGGATAAGGAAATCACAGTCAATAACATGCACTGTAAAAAATAAAACACCCCCCCAGAACTCCCCAAATCTTACAGACTAATCTCAAATGAAATGTTGATACAGGCTGGGCATGGTGGCTCAGCCTGTAATCCCAGCACTTCGGGAGGCCGAGGCAAGAAGATTGCCTTAGCCCAGGGGTTCAAGACCAGCCTTGGGCAACTTGGTGAGGCCTCTTCTCTACAATAAATCACAAAAACTAGCCGGGTGTGGTGGTGTGTGTTTGTAGTTCCAGCTACTTGGAAGGCTGAGGCGGAAGAACCACCTAAGCCCAGCAGGTTGAAGGTGACAAAAGTGAGACTGCAACTCAAAAAAAAAAGTTGATGTAAAAATCTTGAATAAAATATTACAATTAAGATGATTCAAGACCAGGTGTAGTGGCTCACACTGTAATCCTAGCACTTTGGGAGACCAATGCAGGAGGATTGCTTGAGCCTGGGATTTCAAGACCAGCCTAGGCAACATAGTGAGACCTTTCTTTACAAAAAGTAAAACAATTAGCCAGGTGTGGTGGCATGTGTTTGTGGTCGCAGCTACTTGGGAGGCTGAGGCAGAAGGATTGCCTGAGCCCAGGAAATCGAGGCTATGGTGAGCTGTGATCATGCCGCTGGATGACAGCGTGAGGCCCTGACTCAAAAAAAACAAAAGATTCAGCCTTAAGAAATCTTTTAATATAATGAATCATATTGATAAAAATGAAAAATCATGTGATTATCTCCATAAATGCTGAAAAGACCTTTGATCACACTTTTCTTCCATTCTTCATATTCTCTATTGCCCAGACTGGAGTGCAGTGGCACAATCATGGCTCACTGCCGCCTTGAATCCTGGACTGAAGGGGATCCACCCTCCTCAGCCTCCCAAGCAGCTGGGTCTACGGGTGTGTGCTACCATGCCCAGCTACTTTTTAAAAACTTTTTGTAGAGATGAAGTCTTGCTACGTTGTTCAGGCTGGTCTTGAACTCCTGGGCTCAAACAGTCCTCCTGCCTCTGCCTCTCAAAGTGCTGGGATTACAGGCATGAGCCACTGTGCCTGGCAAAAATTTCTTAATATAGAAGTCATATAACAAAATAAACTCCAGATAGTTCTACCTATGTAATATCCACTATGTTGATAAAGGACAAAAACAATCTAATTATTTCAGTAGATGCAGGGAAAGCATTTAAAAATAATCTTATGCATTTTTTTTTTTTTTTTTTTTTGAGTTGGAGTCTCACTCTGCCCAGACTGGAGTGCAGTGGCTGCTCCCAGTCACCGCAGCCTCAACCTGCTGGGCTCTGGTGATCCTTCCACCTCAGCCTTCCAAGTAGCCGGAATTACAGGCGTGCGCTACCATGCCTGGCTGATTTTTTGATTTATTGTAAAAATGAGGTCTCGCCAAGTTGCCCAGGCAGGTCTCGAACCCACGGGCTCAGGCAATCCACTCACCTCAGCTTCCCAAAGGCACAGGATTACAGGCTGAGCCACTGAGCCCGGTTTTATGCATCTTTAAAAAAAAAAAATCTCAGCAAACTAGAAATAGGAGGAAACTTTCTTAATCTACAAGAAAATTATAACAGACAAATATTGGATATTGTTCCCTGAGTTTTAAGAAAAAGCCAAGAATATTCATTAACTTTTCTTTTGAGTATTATACCAGAACTAAATTGAAGAACTAAATAAATGTTTGCATGAAATTTAAGCTAGGGAAATGGAAAGGACCTAAATAAATATTTATGCTTGAAAGTCTCAATATTGTTAAGATGTTAATTCTCCAGAAAGTTAAGGCAAGTTTAAAGAAGAGTAAAATTGAAGGACTTCATACTACCAGATATTAAGACTGACTTCAAAGCTACAGCAATTAAAACAGTGTGGTGCTGGTGTAGAGAGAGACAAATACATCAGTGGATCTAAATAGAAACTTGAGAAACATCCAGGCATATACAGTTATCTCATTTATGACAAAGTTGAAGTAGGGTAAGAATGATCATTTCAATGAAAAGGAAATAGTACTAAGTCAGTTGAGCACCACTATGGAACAAAAAGAACTTTGACTCACCTCATACCATATACAAACTTAATTTGATGTAGATCATGGAATATGAAAGGCAAAGCAATACAGTTTCTAGAAATAAGGGAGTATTGTTATGACCTTGGGGCAGGCAGAATCTCTTAAACTGGATATGAAAATTCCCTAGCTCTAAAGAAAAGATGGATTTTCTGGACTTGTTAAACAAAGATTTTTTGTTCATCAAAAGACACCATTAAGAAAGTGAATTGGGGCTGGGTGCAGTGGCTCCCACCTGTAAACTCAGCACTTAGGGAGGCTGAGGCAGGAGGATTGCTTGAGCCCAGGAATTTGAGACCAGCCTGGAAAACATGGCAAGACCTTGTCTCTACAAAAGATTAAAAAATAGGCTGGGTGTGGTGGCTTACACCTGAATCCCAGGACTTTGGGAGGCTGAGGCAAGAGGACTGCTCGAGCCCCGGGGTTCAAGACCAGCCTGGGCATCTGGTGAGAAAATTAGCCAGGTGTGGTGGCACACCTGTAGTTCCAGCTACTTGGAAGGGTCGCCTGAGCCCAGGAGATCGATACCACTGCATTCCAGCCTGGGCAACAGAGTGAGACTCCAACTCAAAACAACAACCAAAAAGTATCCAGATGTGGTGTGTGCCTGTAGTTCCAGCTGCTCGGGGGCTGAGGCAGGATTGCTTGAGCCCGGGAGTTGGAGGCTGCAGTGAGCAGTGATTATACCACTGCACTCCAGCCTGGGTGACGGAGTGGGACCCTGACTCATAAATAAAAAGTGAATTAGAGAGTCACACACTGGGAGAAGATACTGTCAGTTCAGACATCTGACAAAGGACTTACATCCAGAATATGTAAAGAACCTCTATAAATCTATAAGACAAAGCTCAATTGAAACGTGGGTTAAAGTCTTGAATAGGAACTTTACTAAAGAGGCAATCCAAATGACAATAAACATTCAAAAAGGTACTTAACTTCATTAGTCATCAAGAAATGCAAGTTAAAATCACAAAGAGATACCACCACACACCCACCTGAAGGACTAAAAACTAAAACACCAAAAAACCAAGTACTGGCAAGAATGTGGCGCAATCTTACATATTTTTTTTTTTTGAGTTGGAGTCTCACTCTGTCACCCAGACTGGAGTGCAGTGGC